CAATCCTTACTTTAGCTTTGTTTTTTCCCCTTAAATTCTAGCTTTGAATATGCATAAATCTTGTTTATTTCTACTACATAATAACATCATTTCAGTGTCTTGAAATTGGGGGACCCTATATGAAATAGTTCCAGTCAAAATTTCTATTTACAAATTCCGATCCTGAGACTCGAATTTCGTGACGTTGGACATAGCCTTGGAAAACTGTCACAAACTCAAAAGACTGTTTAAACTTCAGCACTATCAAAAATTGAATGTCAGGAATCATAAAACTCATCTCACCCCCAAACATAATCTAACCTCTAAGTTGAATTCTACAAACAATCTTTTTACAAAAGGAAAATTAGTTGTAATTGTTCTTCAAGTTGAAATCAAATCACAGTTGATTGAGTTTGGCTGCCAATCCGGAATTAGTCAAAAGTCAACGCAAGTTTAAGGCCTTGTTTGGGAGAAATATTAATCAGGATTTTAATCAAAAATCCATCCGTTAACTATCAAATCAGCCACCATTTTTTACCTTCCCTCTCACAGGTGGAGCCCACGGGTTGACTTTCACGGCAATAATTTTGATGAAAATCTCACAAAAATTTCTACCAAACACACTCTAAGTGAAACCAATCGTACTGTTTTGTTAATAGGCGTCCATGCAAATATAGCTTAAGCTCTCATTATCCTCCTCGGACAGTAGCAAACGAAAAGGGTAATTTGAAAGCTATGCCAAAAATTAAGTTCGAGAATTGCACGCTTACTCTTTCTACAAGAAGATATACTGGATCAAATAAAACAAATTCGGGAACCAAACACGTAAATATAATAGTAAGAAGTAATGAACAATAATGAAATCATGAAATTAGGGAGATAATACAGTACAGTGAAACCAAACTGGATTGGACCGAGGGCAACAATCAAGACACAAGCCAAGACTGAGATAGAGCTGTCCCTTATGGCTTGACCAGAACCCATTATGCTGGACTGCCTCGAACCCATTCGGTACCAACTTCCAGTATGCAAAAATGGCTTCCTCAGATCCCCTCTCCCATCTTCTCCCTCCTCCCTGAAACTCATTCTTTTTTCCCTTTCTCTTAAGTTCAATCGAACAAGATGGTTTTTTATTGTACTTAGCCTAAGAACTCAAATCGCCCATTTTTCGGTGGTTGAGTGTAAGATTCTTTTAGTTTCTTGAAAAGCAATTTTTTGGTAGGTGGGTGTAAGATTCAATTTAGTTTATTGAAAAGCGGTAGACATTGGATTGGATGAAGACAAACTATGATGATGTAAGAACACAAACAGCGACTTTGGTGCCTCGTGCTTGAATTGTGTTTAGCCTATGTTTGGGAGAAAAAACGCATTTTTGAATAGTAATTTTAGGAAAATGTGACTAAAGGTTTTGTGTTTATCTATACCAAGTCGTCGATGAATCCAATAATGCCTAATAGAGATTTGTATAGTATAGGGAAATGGTGCCATCGTTGCGTGGTATTCAAACCACCATCACATCCACTTTGATAGGCTGTGATGTCAATTATATAAGTTGCATTCAGTTTACTGGGCTATGATGAAATTGGGTCTAGCCCATTGTTGGTTTAAATCTGGCCATTGCCCGATAATACAAAGAAATTGGCCCAATACCCAACCCAATAAGGCGAACACGTGTGCTGCTCTGGACTATTGATCTTCAGTTTAATCTACGGTGATGGATTTGTGTATTTAAAGGCTTGAACAGTCGCTTTATTGTGATGATTCATTCTGTTTATAAATCTTTGTGATTCGATTCTTAGTGAGTCTTCAGTTGAGGGTTTTGAGTTGTTTGATCTTGTTTCTATCAAGTAGCTGCTGTATTCGATTCTTTAGGATTTTGTGTCTTTGTGGCCGTTTCTTTTGTATAGAATGGTATAATGTTTGTTCTGAGTCCTATGTGATAATCGATCTCTTGGTGTCAAAGAGCTTTGGGTGTTCTTCATGTTTGTGAGTTTTTTCTATTTTCGTTGTGTTTTGGCTCTACACACTTCATTCTGAGAGGAATAAGTAGGCACAAGGCCCCAAGCTCGTCTAGGAAGAGAGCACTCATCTTCCATATCACATAACCATAGAAGATCCTCGATGGCCTAAGTTACACGTTAACCAGCTAAACGGTGTTTGGTGGAGATGTTGAATTCTTCAGGTTTAGACAAGTAGTTATGTGGAAAGTTATCATATGGTTGAGTGAGATCAAGAGGATTGAAAAATTTTCATTAGGTTTCATGATGGGTAGATCTAACGGGTGCATTTTCTTCTTGGGTTGGAGAATGATGATGTAAGCAATCGAGGATTTAACCCTGACGGAGATAGGATAAATATATTTCTTCTACACATACTATGACATCAAAGTTAACATTCAAAAAGGGCACAACTAATGAAGAGGATGAATTGGATTAAAAAGGAATACATTTGGATAGAACTAGAAAAGGATTTGGAAGAAAATTTATGTTCGACAACTTTAACGTGGTGTGAGATTAACATTTTTGCGACAACTGATTGTGAGTGCCATAGTATCTAAAGGAAGATGCAAGGTATTGATTTCAAGTCTACTTTAGTGTTTGTGTATGATTTGAACCAAAGAAAGCATATGAAGTCGAATACCTATAGTTTCAAGAAATACGAACTAGAGAAAAAAAAAAAAAAAACTTCTCAAATGGGAATTTGTGGTCCAATATGTATCGAGATGACCACTTGGAATTGAGATTGATATTTTTTACAGTTCTTAATTCTAATTTTACATTTTTTTTTACTATTTTATAGTTCTTGAGTCATCTACTCTCGGCAATACATTATAGTTTTGAAGTTTGGGTTTGGATTTGGATTGTCAAAGGTCAAGATATTCATCATGATCGTTTGATTTCCCGCAAGTGACCGGATTGTGAAAAAGTAATAAAGTAGTGAATAGAGTATCGAACTCACGAGGACTACATGTTTGATCGAGTTAAAATTAATTCCAACTTTAATCAAATAACAAATAAATTTTGTGATTTTTTATACTAATCCATAAATTGTCAATTAAACTAATGAAATTAAGTAAATGTATTTTTATTCAAATATGTGAGATGCACTGCTAAGATGTCGAATCCCCCTTATTATTCTATTTTTAGTGTAATAATTAAAGTAACAATTTGAAATCATTTATGTTGATTAATGCTCCTAATTTAATTGAAAGCCTATCTCGATAACGATCAAATATATTCCCCTCATGTGACCATTCTATCTCTTGATAAAAGATGCAAACATATAAATGCATTAACAAACACTAGAACACATATTGAAACCATATATATATATCTTCTATCGAATTTTACAATATTTATTATAATGTGCTTAAGCACTATTGTCTCTCTTAATAACAATGAAGTTCACTAATAATTCAATTGGTGATCAAACAATTGAAAAGAAAGATAAAACGATAATAAATATCCACAAATCAAATCAAATTAAAGTCAAAATCATTAATTAAAAACTAAGAGTGTGTTTAGTAGGGATTTTTGGGGGAAGAATTGATTTTTGAATAGTGATATGATGAGAAATTTGTGGTTGAAAAAGAAGAAAAAAGTATTGATGTGATGGAAAATATTATTTTATTGAAAAATGTGTGGTTGAAAATGAGAATTGATTTACTGTAGAAAATGAGAATCTGTACCAAACAGAGTTTAAAAATATCATAACAAGGGTTCATCTCATCCTAATAATGTATAAAATTAATTACAAGAAATCATATTTAAGTGAAAAGATATAACCTAGATTTTTGATTAATTTAGAAGATGAAGATGAATTTTGAAATCTTGAATCTCTTCAATTGCTTCTTAATGAATCTCCACTTGTGTCTTCTCTTCTTTGCCCAAAAATCAGGTTTGAATTTTCACTTGATTGAATTCTTGTAAATCCCCTTCAATCCTCTCATAAAAACTATGTCTCCACATTTGATGATAATAATATATGAATATTGGAGTATAATATGTATATCAGATGTCCTCAATATGTATTAGTCCTCAATATGTATTATGCTGTTAGGTATTTGTAGAAGTCGAATATTGGTTGAAAATTACGTCCAAATTGACTTCCAAAAGAGTTTCAATCGAATAAAGAAAGTTATCTTCGCGCTCGAATTTTTTTGTCTCTACACAGCAGTCAGTTTTTTACCATAAATTTCTCTCTCGATATCCGATTGAAGCGATTCAAACTGATTTGAAAGATAACTCGAAGAGTTACAACTTTGATAGAAATAGAATTTTCCCAATTCGGACGTTTACTATGCTAAAAATGGGTCTCAATTTTCGACTAAAAATCTGGAATATAACTTGTGCGATTGAATATTGATTGTGATAATATTTTGATCACATTCCATTCATTTTTTAATTCAAATTCCATCCAGTTGTCTCCTAAAAATCTTCTAACTCATCTTTTGGTTCGAATCAACTATTGTATATTTGCAATTTGGTCCCAAAACTTTGAATTTTGCTATTTTCACCATTTTTCTCTTCTTTCTTTCAATTCTCTGTCCAACCATTGAATTTTACTTATATAACATAAATAAAATACAACAATTTATGATATATTTTGTCAAACGAATTGTCAAATATTAATATTTTATGGCCCGAATAATTGTATAAAATACACTTATCACATCATATGAATATAGTGAAAATGAGAATGCTAAGAAGGATTCATGGTCATAAGAAGATGAATAAGATAAAAAAAATAATAATAAGAATATACGTTAAGGGCTAGTAGTACCGTTTGAGAAATTCTGAAACAAAGATTTAGATGGGTGATACAATTTGATTAGAGAAACTTAGAAGAGGGAGGGAGGAAGGTTTGGACTCGAAATAAAATGTCTAGGATGAGAATTTAGTCGATTTAGTCCTCCCGGTCGGGCAGAATTTGAGCCCAAAGCTTTTAAAAAATCAAAAATTATTTTTGAAACACGTTTGAATAATTTCTTGAAAAATACTTTATCTAGTTGAAAGAGTTTTTAGTAAAAATTGACCGAAAATATCTCTTTTAAAAAATTCTCGTACAAGAAGTAGAAACAAAAATAAAAGTTCTATCAAGTCCCGAATCCCGTTAGGGTGTAGCTGGATGTGGAAATGTACGTATAGAGAGACAAAGAGACGTCAAATGTTAGCTGGATGTGGAAATGTACGTATAGAGAAACAAAGAGACGTCAAATGTCAGAAAGGTAAAGACATTGCTTGGGAAAGCATGGAAAGTGGCAGAAATCACACTCCATATAACAGAGGATCTAACAAAACTGAACAAGTGCGCTCTTCATAATCTGCAACCTCAAATCCCCACCAAAAAAAAAAAGGTAAAAAAAATGATAATGATAATAAAATAAATTCTTTAATTTTTTATATAATTTATAGCAAGATTATGCATTTGTACTATTTTAAGGTTTTCTTGTGAAGGTTCAAATAGTTTTTTTAAGGTGAATGCTTTTCTGTACTTTTTATGTTTTCTTTTGTGTTTGAACCACATTATTTTGGAAGAATGTATTTAGAAATAGTAGAT